GGGAGCCAGGACCCGCCTCGGGGACACTGCTGTCCCCCCTGGTGCCCCCACTGCCCCCCGCTCCTCCCGTCTCCCTGGCACTCACCGTCTCCTGGTGGTCCCCGATGATCTCCTGGGACCTGCGGAGCAGAGAGCGGGGGGACACCCTTGGCCAGCTGCTCCCGCCCGAGCGAAACACTGGCAAAGCCTTGGCCGGGGAACCCTCCTTAGGAGACAAGGAGCTTATTTGGGGTGCCAGGGGGCAAGGCAAGTGCTGGTGGGGATGGGGGGTGCAGGGAGGGTGGGAGCCTGGAGGAGATGAGGAGGAAGATTGGCAGTGATGGGGCAGGAGGAGAAGCTGCTGGGGAAAACATGGAGAAAATGGAGGAAGGAGGAAACCACCCCAAGGAGGATGAGAAGAAAGAGCCAAGAGGGGGCTGCAAAACCGGCGTGGCCCCTGTACCTCCTCTCTTCCGATGGTCCTCCCGTCCCACCCGGGAACGGCTGCTTTCCGGGCAGGATGCTGGCCACGGCGTCAGCCGCCGGGAGGGACACATCGTCTCGGTGGAGCTGGCAGGAGACATCAGAGCGGAGGGTGAGGATGAGGAGCAGGCCGGGGAAAGCCCTCTGAGAGGAGCAGCAAGCTCCTTCAGCCCCTTCCCCGCAGCCAGCAGCAGCTCTCCTGGCTTTCACCTGGAGCAAAACACCTTTGCCATCGTTGCTTTGGGGTCAGGATCCAGCCCTGCCCCAAAAACCTCTGGCATCGCTGGCTGCGATGCTTCAAGCACCCCCCTTTGGGACTTGGATGCAACATGGTGTGGCCACAGGGCTGGAAGACCTTCTCCTGAGGATGGGGACGCTTAGAAATGCTTGGCTTTGAGCATCATCTCATGGCTGGACCATTGAGCCCTGCGCCCTTGGGAGGAAATTTGGCTACGACCGAAAGCAACCCCAACCGAGCACCCTGGGACCTCTGGGTCCTCAGCTCCCGTGGTGACACCAGAGACAGGGTGACGTCCCCATCCCCACCCACCGCCCCCCGGCACTCACAGTGGAGGAGAAGGGTCTGTAGTACAGCATCCTGGGGCTCCCCTGTCCCCCTGGTCCCCCGCTCCCGGCAGCCAGCCCTGCCCGCCGGCGGGTTGCCAGGCTCTGCCTGCCCCAAACAAACTCCCCAGCGGCTCGGCCACCCCCCCGGGCAAACATCCCGTCCCCGTGCCGCCACCCCAGCTGCCGGCTGGTGGACTTACGGCGATGCCGGGGTGTTGCAACATGAGGAAAAGCTGTTTTTCCCGGGCCCTTTCTTGCTGGCAAAGGGATTTCGGTGGCGCAGGGGCTCCCGGCACCAGGCTCTGCCTGCCCCAAACAAACTCCCCAGCGGCTCGGCCACCCCCCCGGGCAAACATCCCGTCCCCGTGCCGCCACCCCAGCTGCCGGCTGGTGGACTTACGGCGATGCCGGGGTGTTGCAACATGAGGAAAAGCTGTTTTTCCCGGGCCCTTTCTTGCTGGCAAAGGGATTTCGGTGGCGCAGGGGCTCCCGGCAGCCTGGCGCGCTAGGCTGGGGCTCCCGGCAAACACAACCCTCCTCTTAGCAACTCCTCCCTGCAGCAGCTCAGCGCCTAAAATCACCCGGCTGCACCCCGATGGGTGCATTCCAGGTGCAGGCAGGTGCAGGCAGCTGGCTCTGCTGCTCCTTGCCCCGGGCACCCCGCATCTCTTCCCCTTTAGCATTCCTCCAACCATCCCACGTCCCATTGGCATCCTATGGCCGCTTCCAAAGCCATCGGGGGCAGCAGGCAGCGCCTGCCGGCAGTGCAGCACTCCCTTTGAGACACCAGCCCCTCGCTGGGAGCCAGGGGGGGGCTCCCCCTCCCCATCCCCATCCCGGTTTCGGCCTCCGCTGCCTTATCCGCTGCTCCCAGCAGTGCAGACCCAAGGAGGTGACTCGGTGGCAGCCACCGCCGGGTCCCAGCGCGGTTGGATGGCTCTGGTGGTGACAGCACCTCATTTCCATGCCTTGGATGTGGGCATGGAAACGCTCTCCCCTCCCAGCACGCTCCTCTGATGTTTCAAACGCTCAATTAACTTCCGAGGACCCACGTCTTGGAGATGCTGGGCAGCATCGGGCTTCAGCTCTGCCTCGGGGTTTGGCCTGATCCCGAGCAGAGAATAATTCGCTGAATAATTCGCTGATCAAACCCCACTTTCATCCCGGGATTGAATTTCTAGCATTTTAAGGCAAGGCGTGCTCTGCCCCAACCGGTCCCCCAGTCCCGTCCTCCTTTCAGGGTACCCACAGAGGCCCTTGTGCCTCCCACCCGCTGCGACATCCCGCATCCACCTCTCCTTCGGTGTTTGTTAAGAAACAAAGAGGCCGGTGTAAGTCGATGGAGCCCCTCGCTACCTTGTCCCGTGCCATCAATTTTTCATCAAAGAGCCGGTGGGAAGCGCGCAATTATCTGCTCCATCAATAATGCACGGGACTGCGCTTGGCTTGCCCGGGCCGGGCAGCTGCTTTCCCTGCCTGCGCTGGAAGGTGCTGGCTTGAACCACAGCTTTTCTAGGCTCAGACGCTACCTGCAGAGGCTGAAAAACCATCCCCCGCCTTTAGTCCCAGCCTAACGCTGCTCAGACACCCACCGTCCCGTATTCCTGCCCGCGCTTGTCCCGGCGTCACCCCGGCGCTGCCTCTGGGGACGGGGGCAGAGCTAAGGGTATTTGGACACATTCTCCCCTACACCTCCTATCTCAAATCCACCCGGAGATAGCTGCGTCTCTCCTTCCCGCAGGGGTCTGGGATGAAAGGCTGGGAATCCACGTCTGAAATGACGGAAGCTTTGAAACTCCCGGCACCGGCTATTTATTTTTTAATTTTTTTTCCCCTCATCGTTTCCAAGCCTCTGAAGCTTCCCCTGCCTTTAGAGCCTTTCATCCGCCCCGACGAGCCGCCCCCCTCCTTCCCGTGTTGCTTGCTCATGCCAAGTTGGTTTTTTTTTTTTTATTTACTTAACGAATTGCTCCGAGACGCTTTGATGTATTCGATTAGCTTGATCGATTCATTCTCCAGACGGGCGAAGGAGCAGCACGGAGCAAAGCGAGGAGGGGCAGCTGGCAATAAACCTCTGCGGGAAGCAGGTGGGGAGCCCACAGGTCTGAAAATGGCCAAAAATAGGGTGTGCCGGAGGATGCCGCATCCACGTGGCACGGCCTGCCCGCCTTTCATCCGCGCCGACGAGCCGCCCCCCTCCTTCCCGTGTTTGCTCATGCCAAGTTGGTTTGGTTTTTTTTTTTATTTACTTAACGAATTGCTCCGAGACGCTTTGATGTATCCGATTAGCTTGAATTGATTCATCTCCAGACGGGCGAAGGAGCAGCACGGAGCAAAGCGAGGAGGGGCAGCTGGCAATAAACCTCTGCGGGAAGCAGGTGGGGAGCCCACAGGTCTGAAAATGGCCAAAAATAGGGTGTGCCGGAGGATGCCGCATCCACGTGGCACGGCCTGCCCCCGTCCCTGGCCGGGGAGGGGACAGCAAGGCACCCCCGGAGAGAGGCTGAGGACGGGCCAACTCGTTTCACTCGTGAGCACGGAGGCATTTGAGCCCCTGGCAGCGCACCAGCCTCTTCTGCAACACAGTCTCTCTCCAGCCCAACAAATAACGCGTCCCTGGATGAGTATTAAGCCCCATTCCTTAATTGTTACGAAGTTGGGATAAGCTCAGATTTACATATCTGAGAAAAAAAATTGCTGCAGCAGCTTAGGAAGATCAGAGGGGAAAAAAATCCAATTTTTCCCTCTTTTGTGTAACAAAAGCTCACGAAACCATCAGGAGATAACGACGCCTTCATTTGCTTTGCCCGATGCCTCCATCAACCTTCCCCCCATCCCCTCGGGACACCCAATTTTTTTGTGTATTGTGTATCAAAAGCTCACGAAACCATCAGGAGATAACGACGCCTTCATTCCCGATGCCTCCATCAACCTTACCCCCATCCCCTTCAGGTCCCTGATGCCCCCAGCCCCTCCCCGGTGACACACCGGTACCCAAACCCATCCACGGGACAACATCTGGGTGGGCAGATCGGTGGGTCAACTGGGTTGTGGGGTTTTTTTTTCCCCTCTACTTCCAAAATCGAAGCGTTTCCCTGGGGAACGCCAACCACCGGGGGCTTTGCGGGTCCCCCGGGGGAAATAAGATTTTTAGGGGGGGAGCCGTGCTGGGGGGGGTGGGGGGTGGTGTATATTAGCCACAGCATTACAATTCAATTTAAGAGTTAATTGGATTGCATTAAAAAGTGCTTAATCTGAGCCGAGTTCGATTTAATAGAGACACCACATCTTCCGCTCCCTTCCCAACCAGGATGATGATTTTAGGGCGGGCGATTACCATCGCTATCCGGCTCCGGGCCCAGCTGCCGGCTGCTGATATCGTGTCATACAAGGAAATAAAAGCCTCTGAATTACACCGGGTAACTCGGGGAGGCAAGATGCTTGGTGTAGAGACGACTGCTCCTCGGGCTCCCATCCGCCCGCCTGCTTCTTCAAGATAAGGCTCAAGAAAACAGTCGTGCCACCAGCAGGGACCGTGATTCCTCTGTGAGTCGCTGCTGGTTTATTTTGCTCAAAGAAAAACCAGCGGCTAGGAGAGGTTGGAAGACTTCTGAGAGCAAACTCCGGCTGAGTCAGCTCCTGGCTCCTGAAAAAACAGTTTTTCCCCCATCCCGCTGCACGGGGCTGCTTTTGGGAGGGATGGGGACAGCCGGAGTGATGTCCCCAAGTGATGTCCCCAGGTGATGTCCTGCTGCCCATGGTGACCAGGGGGAAGGGGAGGAAGGGGAGGTCAGCGGAGCCTCCCAGGATGGGTCTCTCCTCCCAGCATGGGTCAGAGCATCCCCCAGTGCTGCTGCTCACCCATGACCACAAACCGGGGCCAGACCTAAAAAAGCCCCCTCCTGAGATCAAAAAATGAGGGAAACAGGTTACGACTGTTACCCTGGGTTCCCGCTGGTCCTTTGCAGGGGTTTTTTTTTCCCTCCTAGGAAAACATCCTCATCTGTTCTTAAGATAAACACGTTTCCAGCAACTGGGGATGTGAAGAAGTGGAGAAATATCACCAAAAAACCCCAGTACCAGTGGGAGACTTGGCAGCACTCGGCAGCTCCCCAAAGAGTCTGTTTTCCAAGCATACCTTTTAAAATCCGCGCGTGGGACCCGAGTTAAATACCCTCCCCTAGCCCCACACTTTTTAAGTGTCCTCAAAGCATTTTCATCCCCTGGGCTTTGAAAAATAAGCGGCTGCAGAGGGATAAAACCCAGGCATCCCCATCACCCTTGGTGACAGGCGCTGCCGTGACTTGCCCTTGGCCTGGCAGGCGGTTTATTGCCGGCGCTGTGGCCATCCATTTTCATGTTTGCTTATGTAGTGACTCGATTTGCTGATAAAACGCCCCTTGCATTTCAGCAGCAAGCATAAATCCATCAACACCCCAAGCCACCGCGCCGAGAGCACCCAGTGCCGCGCAGCACCCGCCGCCCTGAGCACCCACCACCCCGAGCACCTACCACCCCGAGCATCTGCCCCCCGGCTTTCGGGCCCCATCCTTCATTAATTAGCACCGGGAAAGGCTGACAAGTCACTAAACGAGGGTGGACGAGCCCTTCGGTGCTCTGTTCACTAAGGGTTTAGTAGTGCTGCCGGGACTGGGTTGGAGCAGGACGCAGAAGGGCGCACACATGCCGACGCACGCACCCCCAAACACACAAAAAATGGTATTTTGGAGCCAGTTTTCTCTTTTTCCCCTGCTCTGGCTCACTGCTGGGGTCCCCGGTCCATGCCCCCCGCAGCCACACCCACGGCCACCCAGACCCAAGCAGGAGAAGCGCGTGCAAAGCCCACCACGCCCGACCTGTTTCCCACCCCTGCCCAGAGCCTGGATCACCAAAAAACCCCTCATGCAATGTAGCTGTGGCACTCAGACCCTTTGCAAGCCCCCCAACCCGCTCCCAGCCTCCCCCACCCCTCTGCCATTGGGTCCCTGCCCCTCCAGCACCCTCCGCTGCCCTGCAAAAGCCACGAGCCTCTGTCCCCCTCCTCGCCATCCCATCTCGCCCCATCTTGCCCGCAAGAAAACAGCATTTCCAGCTGCTTTTACTCTCCCCCAGCCCAGCCGGGCTGGAAGCAGGGACCAGGGATCTTGCAGCCGGATTTGGGGTGGCTGGGAGGCTTCTGCCGTACTCTAAATCCCATCAAGATCCTCTCCCCCCTTTGTGACTGCTGGATGCGGGTCGCCCCGTCCATGCCCCGGTGTCACACAGTGGGGGACACTGGGGGACCCGCCCTCAGCACGGCATCTGGGCGCGCCGGGTTCATCATCACCAGGGCAAAATTAAATAAAGCTAATTAAATAAAAGGGGAAGCAAATTGCTGAATCCTTAATCTCCTTGAGAAGTAAGACGGGCATAAATATCACCTGGGGTCACATTAGCTGATTTATGGGCCTCTTTTATTAATCGGCTTAATCCTGCGTAACGGGTGTGCTGGGGAAACCCACCCTCACCCACCCAGCCCGACACGGGCTGAGCCTCGTGCCTGTGGGTGCTCGGGCACCCATGGGTGTCCAGCTCACCTGCAAACCTCACTGAGCCTCACCCGGGGCCAGGGCGGAGACCACCCTAATCCCACCCTGGCAGCCGCTCCTGCCTCCATCCCTGCCTCTCCCAGCCCGGAGAAGAGGAGCGGCGACCCCGGGCACCAAACCGGAGCCCGGCTGCAGCTGCTGTTGGATTTCGGCTGGCACTTAGCTTGCAGCTTAAAAATGAAATGTAGAGTAAATCCTCGTTTGTCCCCCTCTGTGGGAACCCTGCGTTCTCCCGGGCGTTTTCAGAGCCGTGCGGAGCTCCTTCTCCGCGGAGCCTCGGGGCGGGGGCTCGGCAGGG